AAATTGACAGCCTTGCGTGCATTTTCCTGCAATCGAGAATCTGAAAGGGGAAAGTATGTGGAGTGGCACGGTACACCTGCAAGAAGTCAATTACCACAGGTTTCCGTGTTGATGTTGCTGGATGGCCATTTGGGCAGTGTATTTAATCATGTACAATGAACACCGTTATCAGTGATAATGCTCAATGGATTGCCATGGTGGCTGAAGACTGATGACAGAACCTATCACAGAAACTATAGTGACAGTGTGAGTAAAGGAGACCTCAGGCCATTTACTGTAATAATAATGTTATAGCAAACCTGCAGTCTGTCAAATGGCCTGACTATATCCACAGGCAATTGTGCCGTGGTCCATCTGGCAGTAAAAATCGGCACCGGCTGGAGAGGAGCAGGATTTGACTTAACGGTTTTGTCACTGAGCTGACACACAAGGCAGCAACGGACAGCATCATGAACCTTAGCACCCATCTCTGGCCACCATTAGAGAATACAAAGCTCACCTTTCCCTGATATGCTTTATGTGCTATGGAGACCAGCATAGATCGAAGAGTAGTTATTATCCTTAAAGGGGACATATCATGCAAAATCCACTTTTTTAGCCCTTAAATGCATTTTGCTGTATATTTGGAGTGTTCATAAGTACAGAAAAGATGAAATTATTTTCATCAGGTGCTTTGTTTATATCTTTATATTCTGTTTTGGTCATATTTTTCAACCTGTTCAGATTTTTCTGTTTTCTATGATGTTTTTTGAACTACAACGTCACCGTATTTGCAGCGGAACTGCCAAATAAGGACATTAACTACCGGTCCAAAACTTCGAGCAATCCGCCATTATTATTTCCCGCTCCGATTTTGTAGTCCGAGCTCAATGATGCAGAAGTTACGAGAGGGCAAGTCAAAATGTTCGGTTTTTGGATGTAGTGACCTGAAGCACTTCAAGGATTCCCACTGCAACAACCTCCGCCAGTAACGTTATACAGAAGGGTTTGCCGATTGACTTCGTCTGAATGAGGGGTAAATTCCTCCTATCTTTGGAGACGACGAACAGAGCATTTCGATAAGCTGTAAATATCGTTAATAAAAATAAAGTACTTTACTTTCTTAAAACACATGGTGGTCATGGTTTAGCAGTACCGGCTTTGTCTTTCTTTGTGTTTGTTTTGAAGTAACGTTATACGCCTGCAGTATTATTGTTCTTGAGTTTCCTCAATGGTCATTTAGCTGCTTTTCTGATGCTTTTCTAAACGCATCATATTATCAATACAGATTGTTTGTGATAAGATTAGACCGTAGTCATTTATCTTGTCAGTGTGCAGAGAAATAGTCGACTTTCACTAATAACACAAAACAGTTAACTCATATACCAATACATCCATATGCAGGTTGCTCTGCAGGTTCGTCGTTGTCTTTATCAACTCGCTCGCTCTGGCTCGAATATGTAAGGCTTGATGGACAAGTCTTCTGTTGTTGACATTTTATTAACGTGTGAATAAAATTGTTCTTTGAAGGTATCGTATATAACCGCATATCTCTAATCAAACTACAATAATGTCCGAACGTGGGGAGTTCAACTGACCGTGAACTCACCTGGACCTGGAGAGCGGGCGGGGTATGACGCATCTCCTTTTTATTTAAAGGGGCCGCTTTGAAACGGGTCGCTCAAAGACGCACATTTAGAAAAGGGGTAGAAAAGGGGCTTATGCCTTATCCTGCCAATTTGTAGTACCTGTCAAAAGTTATAAGACAAAGCACACAAGACAGTCTCAGCAAACTTCTTTACTCATTCACTTCTGTTCTCACACATTACATCAGAATACAACAATTGAAACTTTCTTTTCAAAATTTACTACAATAAATACAATAATTTCCATTACATGAGAGTAGATGTTAAAACTTCATGCTGATTTATACTTGGCTTGCGCCATGGTAAGCAAAACTAAGACGTAGCTTTTCAGTAAACTATGCTTCTCCATCCATTTACGCTTCTTTCCATATGGTGGTGTGACTCCTCTTCTGTCCGGCGTTAATGGCTGCAGTGTACTTGCCACGTCAGCACACACAACGGCTGCAACTACAGTGTGGTCTCCCTAGTGGACCACCACAACAACCGTCTGGATCGAGCCGAGTAGGGGACATCTGTAAGATCTTCAAGTGGGCACCTTCCGTCCTCAGTGTTTCGTCGACCAGCCCACGACACCTCAAGAGGGCTCGACAGTGACTCTGGCGTCCCAGAGTCACCACCCTCAGTCCCCCACTCAACTCATGTGAGAAATGTGATAAGTTCTAGTATGGGTGGTCGAGTAGTTTAATGTATAAAAATAATGTTTTATCTGCTTTTCATTCGTTTAGATCATATGTGCGTTAAAGTCATGATGTAATTACCACAATTGCGTGATTTCTTGAAAAGTTACATTAAAACAAACATTACATTCTAACATTCCCCTAACTTTATTGTTTTGTTTTTAAATGTATTAGTTTATCATAGGGAGGTTAGAGATTACTGTGTCTCATCTTGCCACCTCGGCGAGGGGACAAAGCCAGCTGCCTCTCATAGAAGCTAATCTCCACCTCTACGTAGGGAGACGTTCTGCCTGTGCTTGTCTTATAATTACCAAACACACCCTGAGACTCAAGTACCGAGGCTCTGATATGTTTACCTTAACTCTTTTGCGCACAGCATTTGAAGCTTTATCAGTGTATTGACACAGGGGGATTAGGTTAGTGTGGAACAAGGCTGCTTTATCAGTCCAAGCTCTGCCACCCCTTAGACGCTCCATAATCCCTACAAAGAGAACCAAGAGAGGGAGACAAACAGACATATTTGGTATCATCTCATGCATTCACCATTTATCTCTGAAGTATTTGCATTTGACACTGTGGCTCAGACTGTAAACAAACAAAGGAGTTTTGTGCGTGCACTTGAAAAGTTTATTTTCCATTAACTAGCTACTTAAAAGTTTTATTTTGTCTCTTATCTATGATGTAATGGTTTCCATGGCAACACAGGGTATTTGTTTGACAGGCAGTGAAGGGCCTGCATCATCATCGCTTCAATCAAGACTCTCCATCTCTGACTGTTTCACAAAATGAAGGACTGAAGGCAGGATCAAATTATCAACGTGTTTTAATAAAACTAAAGACAAACTGAAAAAGGTGAAACAGTGTGTAGACTACCATAACACAACCATACACAAACAATACCGGACAAGGAGTGCAGGGGCCTGTACCATAATGGTAGTTGAACAAACTCAGGGTTGCAGGAATAGTTTCGAGTTGATAAAACCAAACCAATCCAACCAGGCTTTGTTGGTTCCATGATGCTGATCCTCACCTTTCCCTGTCAACTCTTTGATCCTGAGTTTAGGAATTTAGGGTGAAACTCATTCAAAACTTATTGAAATTAATTTCTCGCAAGAGAAGCAGCGCAATTGACTTGTCAATTTTGAACACACTCACGTGTGTAAACACATTTTACTTCAACATATAGAAAGAGCAGGATTTTGAATAATTATTGACAAAAATGACTGTAATCTCCTCTCAAACAGCCATAAGCACCCAGAGGAGTTGCAGCCGGGGATGGTGGATCAATTTAGCTCACCGTAGACCTACTGCTCTCCTGTCTGTGTTTTTAATGGGCTTAGATGTTCACATTTAGATACATCACAAAGACGACCTCAGAGCTCCCCCTCACAACAGACTGTGATTGTGCAGGAATGTCTCTCAAAGCTTTTTACACTTAAAAGTTGCTTAAACATTTTTTTATTTAGGCCTAATCTAGACATTTAGTGGGAAATCTTGAAGGAGCTGTAAGAATTCTCATGTAGGCTAATCGTTTTTTTGTAACGTCAGACAGACGTTGAATTTTGGTTGGGAATAAAAGTCGAGTTGACGTCAGAACCCGACTGATGTTGGTTTCTGACGTCAACCCAAATTTAATTTTCAATGTAGGGTTTGGTCTTCTAAATGCGAATTTTGTCATTGTTTTGGAGCACACTAGCTTATAGATAACAGTAAGGATAACATTCATAGAGACTTTAAATAGGCCTAGGGCACTAACGTTAGCCTATTTGAGGGAGCAGCCATTTTAGTGTCTGCAAACATTGTGGACCCTTTTGAGTGCACTTATTCAATCTCCCATTCAATCCCACTATCTGAACTGTGTACTCGAAATACTTTTGAAATGAGGGTATACGGGCAATTTCAGACTTAACCAATATCCGATTGACATATATTAGGCTAGTAGTCTTCTCGGCTAGATGTCATCCTCTTTTTTTTTTTTACCTTGTAGGATGTTACAATAATGTCCCTGTGAATTGGAGAATTGTAGTGCTGCAAACATATCCACATTGCTATCAGATGGTTTCTTAAAGGAATAGTTCACCCAAAAATGCAAATTCTGTCATCATTTACTACTCTAGCAAAATTATTGTTCATTGGACCCCATTGACTAATAGAATGGAGAGAAAAAAGGTACCATGGAAGTCGATGGGGCCGTAATCGACATTCTTCTAAATATCTTTTTTATTTGTTCAGCAGAAGAAAGATATATACACAGGTTTGGAACAAATTGAGGGTGAGTAAATGATGACAGAATTTTCATTTTTGAGTGAACCTCCTTTAATGCACTAATTTACTAACATTAACAAGTGGGACCTTGATATAAAGATGTTTTGTCCATCCATACATACAAAAAACAATAGTCCCTATTGACCTTTATTTAAGGTTTAAAAAAAACCTTAAAACTAGCAAAATATGATAGACCAGTCTGCTTGGAAGGGGGAAAAAATTAACATTTTTACTCTTTCACGGTAAGAAATGGAAGAAATGGATTAATAGATGTTAATCCATCAGACAATCTGGGGCCAATCATGTGATTGCATGACGCCATCTAGTGGATGCTTGGTAAATAAATAAATATGTTTGATTTTAATGTTGTTTTATTATTATTACTAATTTGATTTTGCATTTTCCAATGACAGAAAACCAATGATATTTTGAATGACTTTCCTGTTACATTTATTGTAGCATAATGCGTATTGTATAACTCCCGAAGAGTTATTCAACAAATCTCTTAAAAGAAAAATCACTGAAACAGGCCCCTAGTTTACACAAGGGATTACAATTTAAAAAATACTCTGGCAAAAGCTGCTTTTATTCCAAACACAACAATATATGACAATAAAAGAAAGAAAAAATACTTTGCATCAGAGTCCACGGATCATTTAAAAACAAACGCAATCATTATTTGCCATTGACTGGAAAATTTTTGCATCTCAAGCAATTTCTTAACAAAACAATGGATATAATCTTAATTATTGAGTTTTAATTGATTAGACTAATCTATAAAACCAAAATATTTTTATAGCTGATTTGAGGTTTACAGAAGAGTCCTTCTCCTTGTTTTTGAGACTATTAGTGAAGAATAAAGTCACATTACATGTGTACGATCCCAAAGCAAAACCACAGGTGTTGCCACTTTCACATACACTAGTAATAAACAGAAGGGTGAACATTTGACATTCTCAGACTCGATAGCATGTAACTGAATCCCACTACAGATAAAGCAACAGTTCTAATAGCATTTGTAAGTGATTTTCAAGTCCTTAATTTCAATTCCTGAGGATGGAAGGTATTTGACAAAAAGTGGGCACCTTAGACATGAAACAACACATCAGATGAAACAATCAGTAACGTTTCTATTATTTAAATTACTAAAGCAAATTAAAATAAAATCCTATTCTGATTTGAATCCCTTTCATGTATCTCTCTGATTCATTACGGTCTCATGAGAAACATAACTGAGGCCTCTTTCAATCTCATCTCAAGAATCTTTTTGTACCTAATAGACGAGCCCAAAAAATCCTTCAACCAAAAGTACCCAGATTTATATTTCCTCAAACAAGACACTGTTTCTGTCGTAAATCAGTACATTTAGGCATGCTGCATTGAAAACAGGGCTGAAAGCCAAGCCCCCACCTGTTAATAACTGGTTTTCAATATGGCAAATTGACAGTAATCTTCAGAGCAGTGCACAACAGAACACATCTGAAAAATGTGTCCAAAAGAAAAATTTGACAGTGCAGGTTGGTGCATTTTAACCCTTGTTGGACTTCCAGTAATAAAATTAACAATGGCACATTCACCAGAGTAAAAAAAACAGGTAAGTTTTAAGCCCATTTAAGTGTTACATCACATGTAACATTGCAGTTTTAACATTCCTCAGAATGTGGCACTAAATAAGGAAATTAAATGTCACAGTCCTCCTTAACTAAAAATCTGAAACCAGATTAAGACGTATAACAAGGCACAAGCACACAGAAATAATCCAATATGACTGACACAGAGAGGTTTGGAGAGCTGTACTGATCAACCAGATGGCTAAAACCTTCACAACACCTCACTCGACGGCCCTGGTGCCCATGACAAGTCTGAAACTGCAGTCTGATTGAGAATTGTGTACGCTACCGTTCAAAAATTTGGGGCTGGTAAGATTTTTCATGTTTTATAGTCTCATCAAGGCTACATATATTTGATTAAAAAATATAGCAAAAACAATAATATAGGAAATTATCATTCAAATTAAAATATCGTTTTTCCTTTTGAATATTTTGAGCCCGTTCGTTGGAGCCCGGCGTTGATATTTTTAAAATGTAATTTATTGGTGTGATGGCAAAACTGTATTATTATGTTGAAAACGGTTGCCTGTTAAAATTATTGTGGAAACTTTTTTTGTTGTTTTTGTTTGATTAATACTAGAAAGTTCAAAAAACAGAAATCTTTTGTGACATCATAAATGTTTAACTATAAAACTTGTCACTTTTGATTTTAATTTCTTAAAACTGCTAGAATACTTTCCTCTCTCCTCCTTACTGTTATGCCACCATGCTTGCAACAGATTTAATACTAAAAATGAAACAAGCACAACTAGCGGATTTCATTCATGGAAAAAAGGAAGTCTATTTTATGTCATTAGTATAGCAATATTAATGTAACTCCTCATAATATGTCGCAATTTATGATTCTACTAAAATGTACGCCCAGAAATATGAGATTTTGAGTCTGTAGTCATAAGCGTTTCATTCATGCATAATCAATGAGCTCCTATTCAGTCATCAGAACCTTGGGCCAACAGTTTCCCTCTCGGCCACAAATGTGGACTACACATTTCAAAAAGAAAAAAATCCTGGCCAGGGTGCAGCACTACTGGAAACATCTCAAATGTATGTCAACAAAACTAGCTGCAACATTTGGCATCCACTCTGATGAAGTTTAATGAAGCGAACAGCGTGAACCAATAAACAGCTGTTCTTTGTAGAACGAGTCCTTAATTCTTTGGTGCTTGACTAAGTAGGAATTAGTTCAATGACTAATTCAATAGTTGTAAAGCCACTGGAACAAGTCCTCTTATTTTTAACCAACCCATATCATAGCGGTCCTTTGAATAATCCAAGCACAAGATCTTGTGTATGGATTATGATATGAAAAAAAAAAAGTGACAAATAAAAAATATATATATATATATATTTCCGTGGGGCATGCATGTGATGAGATCAGCAATATTGGCATATAATGTGTCTCTGTCCTAGCTCTGAGAGAAGTATTCTAGTACAATGCGTAGATGACCCAGTCTATCCTTCAGGGAAGTCAAAGACAGAACGGTGGTCTGATAGGCTGGATCTAACTGCAGCACTGACAGCAGCCACCAGCACCAAGCCGGTCCATTAGCAGACGCCTGCAAAGCACAAAAACACATTCATTCTCGTTAGAAAGTTACTATTAAAACAAGATGGGTTGTTTTGCTAATAAACACAATATTCTGTGTGCTCTGACCTGAATGTTGTCCTCTTTCTCGGGCATGATGCCGTACTGCCGGCTGATTTGCTCCTGAATGCGGCTGTTCAGACGATGGTACCACTCTCTCGCCTGCTGATACACGCTGTCATGGAGAAGCTGCAGTAGTTCAAGCTCACCGCCTTCGACCTAGTAAACAAGTAGAAGTTTTACAGTTATTTATATGCTTTCTTCAACCTGATGATAAAACAAAGCTTGTGAAATCATAATGAAGAGGTGTTAGAAAAGAGCTTGAATTTGTTGACTAACAGGCAGATAATCACAAGCTGTTCTATGAATACACTTGGAATTAACGCTAATTAACACTACTGGATATTAAATTTGCAGTGCTAACAAAAGGTTTCTTATTTGCAGCCATTAAAACCAATATATCATGCAAAAAGGCCCAGGCTTGTTATTGTGGTAATAAACCCCTCATGAATCTTTTATGAATGCTTTTCATTTAATGTTTAATCATGACACCTTATTTAGGTGGATGAGATGAATAACCATTTGTAAAACAACCGGAAGATTAAAAAGTCCAACTTTATTTACTAATAATTAATAACTGAACATAAAACATCACACTGTTGCGTGGCTCTAAACATTTCATTAATAAACATTTAATTGTCAGAGTCGGAACTGTGTTAAACCGATAACTACAGTTTTTTCTAGAATATGTGAGGTCAACCAGATGCAATTTAATAAAAATAACTGCGGCAGCCAAATGGCTTGATTATTATTATTATGACAATCATCTTGGTGTCACTGCACTATTTGAGTGATCACAACAATCAAGATCATTTCCACGTATAGCCTCAGTGGACACCACAACTTCCTATGCAGTGCAGTGTACAGAAAGAGTGAAACTTCTGCACAAATTTCAATCTTGTGGAAGTGTCCCACAACAGGTTAGCAATATTAAAGCAATCCACCTTTATGCAGGCATTTGGATCATTAAATTAATATAATATTCTGAAATGCATGTTGATCATATTTAATATAATATAATAAAACTGGTTGTGATTGACAGTTATTAAAGTGACAGAATATTATAATATGACAAAAAGAGCTATCTACTGCCACAGTTTGCTATGGTAGAATAATATCCCAGAGGCTCACGCAGGCAGCACTTTAGTTTAAATACTAATATACATTATAGAATGCAAGTGAAACATTTCAGAAAAACATGTGCCAGATTTCTATTGTGACAAGTGACTGTAACCTTTAAGATGAGAAGTACATTAAGGGCTGTATTAAAGATACTTCCTATCTTAAGCCTTAAGTTAAGAACTGAAATCACCATAGTTACTAAATAGATTAGATAGAATTCTAGAATGTTTCAGTGGTAAGGCCCCATGAGAGCAATTTAATTTACATGACTCTTGTATTATCTGGTTATAAGGTTTAATTTTTTTCATATTTGCCTTATAGTCTTTATAGGCTTTAATAATGCTGTATTGCATTAAAGACTTCTTCCCATTGGACTTAGATCTGAAATTTGAGTTAATCTGAGCAATCTGTAAACTCTGACCTTATGGTCCTCCAGGTACTCAATATCAGCAGTGTGGTAGCCATCTCTCTGTCCTCTCCTGAGCACTCGGAAGCGACTTCCTCCCACTGTATCCACATAGGAGCGACCATCGGCAAGCAATTCAAGTTCCAAAATATCCAACATGCAGCCATAATCTGCAAAGCTGTGACAGGAAATTCTAGTATCAAAACACTGTAACATATATGGATTTAATGACATGGTGTAATAAGTCATGTGTTATTGTTCATCTGAGGTTGTATTTACCTAAGACCTGCTAACAACCAGATGATGAACAAAATTAAAAACGCAACACTTTTGTGAGCACTTCTCCTTTTTTAGTGAGCACTTCTCCTTTGCTGAGATAATCCATCCACCTCACAGGTGTGGCATATCAAGATGCTGGCTACTAGACAGCTTGATTACTGCACAGGTATGCCTTAGGCTGGCCAGAATAAAAGGCCACTCTAAAATGTGCAGTTTTATCACTCAGCACAATGCCACAGATGACGCAGGTTTTGAGGGAGCGTGCAATTGGCATGCTGACAGCAGGAATGCCCACCTGAGCCGTTGCCCGTGAATTGAATGCTAATTTCTCTACCAGAATTCGTCTCCAAAGGCGTTTCAGAGAATTTGGAAATACAACGGCCTCACCACCGCAGACCACGTGTAACTACACCAGCCCAGGACATCCACATCCAGCATCTTCACCTCCAAGAGCCATCCAGACAGCTGCTGCAACAATCGGTTTGCATTACCAAAGAATTTCTGCACAAACTGTCAGAAACCGTCTCAGGGAAGCTCATCTGCATGCTCGTCGTACTCATCAGGGTCTTGACCTGACTGCAGTTCATCATCGTAACCAACTTCAGTGGGAAAATGCGCACATTCTATGGCATCTGGTGGGGTTATGGTATGGTCAGGTGTATTTTATGGAAAACGAACACAGGTGCATTTTATTGATGGCATTTTGAATTCACAGATACCGCGACGAGATCCTGAGGCCAATTGTTGTGCCATTCATCCACAGCCATCACCTCATGTTGCAGCATGATAATGTGTACACAATTCCTGGAAGCTGAAAACATCCCAGTTCTTGCATGGCCAGTGTATTCACCGGACATGTCACCCATTGAGCATGTTTGGGATGCCCTGGTTCGGTGTATACAACAGCGTATTTCAGTTTCTGCCAATATCCAGCAACTTTACACAGCCATTGAAGAGGAGTGGACCAACATTCCACAGGCCACAATCAACATCCTGATCTACTCTATGTGAAGGAGATGTGTTGCACTGCGTGAGGCAAATGGTGGTCACACCAGATACTGACTAGTTCTTGTACCACCCCAATACAGTAAAACTGCAGATTTTAGAGTGGCCTGTTAATGTGGTCAGTTTAAGGCTATGTTTACACGGAAACGATTATAAAGAGAAAACGCAAAAGTGGCATTGCGTTGTGGGTGGGAAATCCGCGTGCATATGATGACGCAAAAGTGTGTGAAATTCAATGTAGTATGCACTTCAGGTGGCTAGGAGTGCATACTACAACAACACCAAGTCCGCGCGCCTGCGTACAACCTTCACTGTCAAGCAGACTTTTGCGTTTTTACCGTTTACACGGGAACGCGGCGGTGGAGGGTTTTTAAGATTTCCACTCTGGAGGGTGGTTTCACTGTTTTGCGTTTTTAAGCCCCCAAAACGCCGTCGCCGTTTAAACGAAAGGCGCATCCGATAAAATATTTTTACGTTTTCACCCGCGAGCATTCTCGTGTAAACAGGGCCTAAGGCACACCCGTGCAATAATCGTGCTGTGAATTGGATGGATTATCTCAGCAAAGGAGAAGTGCTCACTAGACAGATTTGTGAACAATATTTGAGAGAAACTGGCCTTTTGTGTACATAGAAAAACGTTCAGCTCATGAAAAACGAAGTGTTTTGTTCAGTGTAATTTGAGAATTAATAAGGCCTAAATTAAGTTTCCTAAAACCAGAAAGTGCGGATGCTAGCATAACCTTAAATGACAGATGTTAGCTGCATAATATTTTATTTGTATACCCTTTGCCATGCTCATAGCTGCACATGCCAAACTTTTTGGTGCCCGTCTCCATACATCTGCGCATCATCAGACGGTAGCGTGGCTCAAAGATGTGCAGCGGGCAAGGGATGCCAGGGTAGGCCACTGTGCACACAAAAATTGGGATGTCCTTGGTCAAACTGGAGATAAAAGATGGTGAATTAAAAGATGGCACACTTTTTCAGAGGCTTTAACAGTCCAGAAGACATTTGATATTGTGTGAAGACTTCTAGACACCATTTTATACATTTCGCAGATACTGGAGCTCTTCCAGACCCCAGCAGCATGGGAAATTCCGTTCATAGAAACTCCTTTACAATAAATAACTAGGAACACTGTTTTTTTGTTATCATTGAGAGGGGCACTCACTTTGAGAGCTCTTCCATCTCTGCCTCGTGCACCTGTTTCCTCTCTGCCAACTGCTGGGGGAAGAGGCGGCAAATAATCTCCTGCAGCAGCACTGTGGGGTTGTACTTCCTGTTCTTAAAATACTGGGAATAGGAAGTAATGTGGTGAGTCTTTATACTGCTTTGGAATATGATTTGCTCTGTTTTATTTTTGTTTACTTGATTGACACAATACCGAGTACTTCATGAAAACATAATGTGATTGATTGTGAGTTAGAAGAATCAGGTCTGATTTAAGACATTAAGACATTTAAGACAATAAAAAACACAATTGCAACTTTATATCTCACAAGTGCGTTTTTGAAATATAAAGTTACACATATGTAATTACTGTAACAGTTTGTGTTTCAGTAGTACCTCCTGCAGTGGTTGTTTGCAGAGTGGACAGCGGAGATTGTGATCCAGACTTCTCTCGATGCAGTTCTTGCAGAACGTGTGTCCACAGGGTGTTGTCACTGGCTCATAGAATAACCTTTAATCCAATGATCATGATAGTGATCCATTGAGCACAGATAAGAGGTGGGAAGTTAATAAACACATCCGTTTGGACAATCCTCATTAAAAGAGAGATAAATTTTAATCTGGTTTTATTTCATTTCACTAAGAGGATCTCTTTGCAGAAATATCTCAACTGATAATAACAATTAATAAGGAAAAATTAACAACATGCTGCTTAATTATTAAAAATAGTAGTGCACAGTTTTGTACATTTTCCAAATAATTCAACAGCCCGGACTCGATATGTTCCGGTTACACTACAGTTACCACGCCTCAAAACATTGTTCAATGTTTTATTTTATTAGTTACTTTAAACACTAATTTCTTATGCATCTCATCGCAAGCGGTGTCTAACTAATAGTGAAGATGTTAGTTTAACTGCTTTAAGAAACTGAAAAAAATGACATATAGCTTTTCAATTGCAAAACTATTTTACTAATAAAGACGACAACAAGTTTGTGTGTCTGTTTGTGTGTGTGTATGCATGGGTGCATGCATTTGTATGGGAGAGAGAGCAGGAGAAAGAGAGTGTGGTTTCCATAGATAATGAAAGGTAATTCCATTGCGAAATCATGGATATAGTTTGTCATTTTTATCCTATTGTTTGTTATATCAATTTGCTTTGCCAATGTCTTTGTAGGTTTTTGTTATTTTGCTGTTGTAGACTGTAAGGGCCTCTGAAAATCATATAACGAAGTGATATGGACATATAATGTAGTCAAGACATTCCTTTAGCTGTGCGCTTCCCTGAAAATAATTGCACACTTATATAACGTTTGTAAACCAGAATCAAGCATTTAAAAGCTCCATAGTAACTTACAAAACACTGGAATGACCACAAAACAAGAATAAAACAGTGTCATGACATTTCCCTATATTGAATTACACTTGTTAAAGTATTACAGAATATATTGTGCATTCAATTAAGCAAGCGCCAGCTGTAATCTAACATTTAAATACCATATCAAAGTTCCAGAAAATGCAAGGGTCTTGTAGCAGGATAAAAGGTCAGTGAAAAAGGACACTATAAATCTCCACTGACCTGATGCAGAGAGGGCACTCAAAATCAGTCACTGTCAGAATGCTGAGGCAGGACTCTCTTCCCACACTGCACACACCTAAAGAATCCAACAAGCAAAATAAACTTCGAATGAATGTCATTCTGATTTGTTGTCTAATCATGTCTAAACAAAGAAAGTATTATTTGAGAACTGCTTATGAAGTAAAAAGAAATAATATTTATATGAGTAATAATACTTAAAAATATTATTAATATATCACCCATTGTGTTTACCTGGGTTAAACAATGAACTACTGTGAACAAAATGACGATCATTTGTTTAATATGACAATTTACTTATGACATATTCAAATTTGTATACATATGCAATAAGTAACTCTGGGATGTGCGATACTGTATAGATAGCTTGACAAATGTGCTATATTATGAATATAATTATGGACAAAATGTCAAACCAGTCTCACACAATTTGCTGAAACCAACATCTACATACATTATTATGTATTCCTTACTTAATGTGTAGTTTAAAAAAAAGTATGAGATTAATGATGATTAAAAATCATCATCAAGTGACAATTAATTAAAATTGTATGACGCAAAGCAGGTAAACTAACTACTTTTCAGCATTCTGGTCAGGAACTATCCGTTTAAAAACTAAACTTTGAAAATATTTTGAATTATATTTGATACAAAAACAATGTTTTAATAATTTCTAGAAGGTGCATATATAAATGCGAATGGATTACTTTTGTTTCCATGAACAGTTAGTAAGATATCTTTACCTCCGTTCTGTTTCTCCTCTCTCTTCATCATCATTTCCTCATCATCCTCAGCAGTGGGGAGGAAGGACACGGCCTGACACAGGCTCAGGCAGCACTCGCCGCTGGTGCCATGCTTCACTTTAGTTGCATTCTAGGACAGAACAGGAAAGATCTTGAGAGTGAGCAAAAAATTTCCCATATAGCTCACATCACAAATTATTTATTTATTTATTTATTTTGCCATATCAGCATCTTAAAAAGAAGAATCTTTAAGAAAACATCACAACAACTATATCATATATTTAAGTTTAATATTTTAGTTGCTCACATTACCAATGTTACACAAGCGTGCTGTGCGCACACCTCACCTGCCCGGCATCACTTTGACCTTCAGCGCTGTTGTGCGTGTAGCGCTGAGTATCTGTGTGGCTTACAGAGCTGGTGATGGGACAGGGATCGTGCAAGTACTCCGACACAACATGCAGGATCCGTGGAACTTCTTCCGGTACAGGCATTCCCTCTGCTTCCAAGATCTGCACATCATGTAAAACATTTATTCATTTTTAAGCAAAATGTGCTCCATATTTGGATATTTTGGTTCTGACTCTCTCCAGAAAAGTGAACTGTTCATCCAACTTCTGGAAACTTTCTGAAAGACCCACCTTCTTAATCTGGTTTTTCGCAGGGGCAAAGTCAGGCTGCTGCTTCAGGCAGTGGTAGAACTGGATGAGGGCTTCAGTCTGTCTGCCCATTTCAAGAAGAACATTCCCTTTACGAAAGAACCCCTAAAAAGACACAAATTATTAACACAACTAATCTTATTCAAGTTTTTAAATATAATTTAGAAAGAATCCTCAGGAATAAAAGTACATATCCACCATTTTACATAATAAATACAAACGTAGTTACATAATACGTACAATACATTTACATTTGTTTAATACAGAAAGATTCTTTAATGTCTTAAGTCTCTTATACTTACCAAGGCTGCATTTATTTGATCAAGAATACAGTAAAAACATATTTTGAAATATGATAGAAATTTGAAATAGCTATATTTTTAAATTAAATGTGTTCCTCTGATGACAAAGCTGTTTTTTAGCATCATCACTCCAGTCTGGATATCACATGATCCTTCAGAAATGATTCTTATGCTGATTTGCTGCATAAGAATTTTCTTAATATTATCAATGCTGAATACAGTTTTGCTGTTTAATATTTTTTGGAAACCATGATAAATTTTCAGGATTTTATGGATGTAAAGCTAAATATATAGAGCTAAAATATTTTATTTTATTAAAATAAATAGAATACTTTTGTAATGTTTTAAATGTATTTACTGTTATAAATGTATTTTTTGTATTTACCATCACTTTATTTAAGGCTTTTTTTCTGAATAAAAGTGTTAAATTGGCCAGCAGACATATCACCCTGAAGCTAAGCAGGGCTGAGCCTGGTTAGTCCCTGGATGGGAGACCTCCTGAGAAAACCAGGTTGCTGCTGGAAGAGGTGTTAGTGAGGCCAGCAGGGGACGCTCACCCTGTGGTCTGTGAGGGTCCCACAGTATAGTGATGGGGACACTATACGGTCAAAGAGCACTGTCCTTCGTTATGAGACGTTAAACCGAGGTCTTGACTCTCTGTGGTCATTAAAAATCCCAGGATGCCTTTCGAAATGAGTAGGGATGTAACCCAGGCATCCTGGCCAAATTTGCCCAGTGGCCTCTGTCCATCATGGCTTCCTAACCATCCCCATATATATATATATATATATATATAAACTAATTGGCTTCATCACTCTCTCTCCTCTTCACCACTAAGCTGGTGTGTAGTGGGTGTTTTGGCACACTATGGCTGCTGTCACATCGTCCAGATGGATGCTGTACATTGGTGGTGGTTGAGGAGATTACTCCTTCCATGTAAAAGTGCTTTGAGTGCAGAGAAAAGCACTATATAAATGTAATGAATTATTATTATTAAATTAAGTTAAGAGTATTAAATATTAACTTTGAATGGTAGTGTATGCCACTAAACTGCTTGTGGGAAGAATACCAAACCACAATGTGCTCTGTCCATAACAAAAGGGATGACATAAGTATGAAAATATGTCAGCCATTTCCGCAAAACCAAAACATGAGACTGTACAGGCATTCTAGAAATCTGGTGTGAGTATGCAAAATAATAAATATGTATAATAGATTGATACAGAATGCAAAATATAACTCATCTGTCAAAACCATTCCTTAACAGTAATCAAAGTCTTGTCCCCTAGACAACATATAAATAACCAGTACAGTCAGCCCTCACCTCAGTCCAATTGGGTCGCACACAGCAAAGGTCATCCAGGTCACGGAGGGCATCAGAAAAGCGACGGAGGCCCATGCAAGCCTCGGCCCGCCACACTTTCAGACTCACATCATCCGGGGCTGTAGATGCAAGGAAAGATGGACATGTGGCTTTTATGGAGTTTTTTTTTTTTTTTTTAAATGTGCATAAACAAAAAAAGAGAAACCTAAATGGATGGTATGAGTTGACCATCTAATAGCATAATGCAAAAAATAAAGAAAAGAATCGGTGTAATAGATAAAGATAAAAAGCAACGAATGCAGTTCGCCTGCTATAAGATAAACAAAGGATCTGAGAGTGATCGGAAATCCAAAACTTCTACAAATTATTGCATAAAGAGGGACAGAAATTCAAGTTGCATTTCTCTCACTTATATAATGTGCACACAGACCGATTAAATAACCAGGATGTTACGTTACAAACCAGATTATGTTACGAATACGATTCTCGGTTACACAAGAGGGAAAGTTTATGTGGGGCAGAACGCTGAGCATACAGCAAACTGCCTCTAATTGGATTCAAAGACTTGACACACATCTGCGGTTTGCCCGGGAGGCTTTATGTTACTAGACAGGATAACTCGTTCATTCAGTGGCTGTAAAATGATACGTTTAATTCACTAAAAGAGAAATGGTACTGTTGATGTTAATAGTCATGCTATATCTAAAAAAGAACAGCCTTACGATACTACCAAACTGCACTATAGCTCATTATGTCAGAGATGCATTAATTGCACAGGATTCTGCACAGCCGCATTCATGCATCTTAGAATATGTTCTGTAATGTCTCCTTTGTGTATATTATATACCTAAGGGGACTTGTTATTTCACCAATGTGTGCCCTAGAGATTCTTTCATGGCCTTATTTACCCTTGTTAGTGACATCAGCCACTAACATGTTATAACCAATTTTCACTGGTATTCATTAACCCTTTAGGAGACCTGAGATTATGAAATCACTTTTGCTTTCAACAAGCACGGCTATCTCCGCTCTCAAGTGTGTGAGTAGGTGGATCACAAAGACAATCACTACCAGTCTTCAACTAACCCACGCTGTGTTAAAATGCTGGAATCTAGGGCAATTTTTTCTAGAAACAACAGATATCAAACTCCTGCTGCATATGGCTTACATTCTCTCAGTCTACCTGTGTTTATAGGGTGATCTGATTCTATACATGCCTTTAGTGAATTAAATGGTAAATAAGATAGTTTGTCTCAAAATGATCAAAATGAGTAAATGATGAGTAGTTTACTCACCCTAATCTTGTTCCAAATCCTTAAGACTTTCATAGAAACACAAATGAAGATATTTTTAATAAAATCTAAGATTTCTGTCCCCATTTTTGTGACAGCTATGCAACTCTAACACTTAGAAAAGTTCAGAAAGAGATTGTATATCTAATCCTAAGTGATTTAGTCTAAATTTTCTGATACGATTGCTATAAATGATGAAGTGATTGAATTTAGGATTTTATTCACATTTAAATATTGATCAGCGAACATAAACAGAAGCTCAACCATCTTTGCTTGACGCTTGAGAACAAATTTCATTGGTTCTTGCAGAAGGTTATACAACCTTTGAATGAATTGCTTTCTTTCTCGCACATCAAGCAAGCATGCTTGCGCTTCCATTTACCAACTGATGCGTGAGTTGATGAATGTTTATACATGAATAAAAAATAAAAAAAAATATGTTCCTTGTATAAAGCGATCATGTCTCTTCAGAAAATTTTGACTAAACCACTCAATTCATATGTAGGGTGACCAACAGTCTTGTTTTCCCAGCCAGGACATGTCCTGTTTTCACGTCCTGTCCTGGCCGTCCTGGCTGTTTTTTTATGAAGTTATGAAAATGTTCTGGTTTTCCAAAAACTGCTGGGAAAGATCAGCTCTACAGCAAAACAGATGGGCAAACAAGGAGGATGAGGAAGGAAAACAGGATAAAGAGGAAGAAAACTTAAGATAAATATATTTTGTTGATATGTTTTTGTAAGTTTGTGAGAGCTATTTTTGTTCAATTTGTAGGTATTTCTTTTAGTCATTTACTGTATTATTTACATATTTATTTTTCTAATAGAGTAGAGACATTATTTCTATCATTATTTCATTCATTATTTTTGAAACCTGTCATGTTGAGTAACCTCTGAGAAGCATCTGAATTTGTGTTTTGTAATATAACGATTTTATATCCATACAGAGGAGGCATAGCCAACTTTAAATGTATTGAAATGAATAAAGCATCTTTTAGTAAACTACGAGTATCATTTGAGTATCTGTTTGCCGGGCCGAGTGTCCTCGTAATCAAAATATGGACACCCTACATATGGATTAGTTTTGAAGTGTCAAAGTGGTAGTTGTTTAGATGTCAATGGAGGTAAAGAAATCACTTAAGTTCATCAAAAAGATCTTTATTTGTGGTCTAAAAATGAATGAAGTAATTTGTGTTTGGAATGAGGGTGAGTAAATAATATTATATTTTTTTTTTTTTTTTTTTTTTGGGGGGGGGGGGGGGTTGGTGTGAAGAACAAACCCTTTAATTACATAATCTCTATGATGCATTTTCCACAGTGATGTCCTGAACTGACATGATTGATAATCTATTAACAGATTCTTGAAAATGGTATCCTCGTTTAATTCAAATCATCATACTTCTGGATGTTTTTAATTGCATTCAACATATTCCCTTTTCCTTAGTGAATATGAGGTTCACAAACTCATTGGCCTACTTCAGCAGAATAAGGTGTGCTGTCACTGCATAAATGTCCTATAAAAGGCAAGAGATATCCTGCACAGCAACAAAAAAAGGTTAGCCTACAATTTGCTTTTTAAAATCTAGTTAGCTTCCTTCCTATATACTACACACAACCTAGGCACCTTCCATGTCACTGATCATCATAAACACCAAATTTGCAATTCTTGCAAAAGGTGGGTTTACTTTCTAGAGGTAGTAAACGCAGTGGATTCATTCATCCTATATAGAACTAAAAAAATAAACATTTCGTTAATTTTGTCATGTGAGCAACCAACAATAACACAGATAAAATATGTCTGGATGACCCAGACATAACGCTAGTAAATTAGTCTAATAACTTGCGGTTGGGTAAGTGACTAAGTTAATTCTGTAATCACTCTCATAAATCGGTATTCCGATTCGTATGTTTTGATTCACAAAAAAGAATCGGCTCTCAATAAGGATTCTTTCGACTACACTCGCTCTATCTCTGTTTTGAAATCAAGCGCCTTATTAAACATCTAAACAACTAAACATAAAACAATTTGGTTTCTGTTATAATAATAATAATAATAATAATAATAATAAACAGTGTTTAATAGAAAAATGATCGAATCGAGCTCCGTTTATAGTTTTGAGCCAGTCACAGTCTGAGCATCTGCATATCAGTTGACATTACCGAACACAACGAACCCTGTTGCACAATAAACACCCATTTGGTTGCATAAGGTTATTTAGATGGAGTTTGCATCCTTACCCATCTCGATCCCTTCGTCCGCAATACGAAGCGCTTCTGTAAACTCGCTGGTTTTCAGCTTCTCCTGAATGTGACACTTCATCTTAGTCTCTTCTGGGCAACATTTCTCAATGACGCTGAACAGTAACACGTTGTTTTTGATGTTTTTCGCATCTCTCTGTTTCAGTCGTTCTTTGCAGGTGGGGCACCGCGAGGGCAGGAGAGCGCCCATGCATCTCCTGCAGAACGAGTGACCGCAGCTCATGGTCACGGGCTCGCACATGAGGAACAGACAGATCGGACACTCCAACAGATCCATACTGGACTCTTTCATCCGGTGACCGCTTCCTCCTGAAAGTTGAACAGCTGATGCCCTTTGTCAAAAGTTACAGAGCTCGATCCTTGAGCGTGAAATGTGCTAACGTTATGGTGAAAAAAGTTAAATGACAAGGGTAGTTTAACAGCTCTCCTATCTTATTTCGTGATGACTGCTTTCATAAGCTTCCAAAGGCCGATGGCAGTTTCTGCGAAATTGAGCCGAGACTATGAGCATGCTTTAGGATTCCCTCTCCAACTTACTTTTATATATGACAATAGATTTAATATGTATAATTATCCGTTGTCAATCATATCCCAGTCTTTGTTGTGAGAGTAACGTTTTCCCTTGTTGTTGTGTATGATGAATCGGTTCACTCCACTTCAGTCCGAACACCGTGGCTTCGCTGACTCCTCCGAACTCCATCAACGCAGAGCAAGGACAAAATAAAAAGCGACCGATAGATCTCTATTTTCCTGTTTCCTTTAATTTCGCCAGACCAACATCTTTCTCTTGTATTTAGACCGCAGATAATGCTGGGTTCGCCACTGACACCATTACATTACATAAATAAAAAGAAAACACGTGACGCGTGATGGTGCTTCCCATTGGCTCTCCCGCTCCGTGTTCCACCCTGTTGTGAAACAGCGAACGCCGCGTTTCATAACAAGAAATCTCGCGCAGTAAGTCAATGACAGACGTCTACAAAGCAAACTCTGCACATGACATGTAGGTGCTCAATAATTGTGCTTCGATAAATGCTTTCTTGCCTTTTCTTTGTGTAATTTAACAGTTTTCGCACGTAGTTAGAGGTTTTGCTTTACATGTTGAATCATGTGATCCTGCGTTCTGAGCCACTGATAATAACATTATAAACCCTGAGGAATAACATTGTATTAACATTTCTTAAACATTTATCTCAATTGTTTACAACTTTGACATAAACTACACAAACCATGTGTATGCTCGTGTGTGTAAAACTTCTGTTCACTGCTGGTGAGTTAAAACTTTCGCATAATAGGATGGCACTGCAAATACAGAGGCATTGTAATTACCAACCAATGATACAAATATCCATTTGGTTAAACTCTGTCACTGGGTAGACTAAAGTGCACTTATACAACATTGCATAAGTGCAGTAAAGGTTGTATAAGTTTGCATTTCCTCCAACCAATCTGCATCATGTAAAAGTCATGTGACACTGAGAATGACTAAATCTTATAACACAACATTGTCCGGCTGCAGAGCAGGTTTTTTTACTCAGTGTAAAAAGCTTGTTTTTTTTTTTTCCTCTTTATCATTATCATTTCATTAATAGACATCTACATACAATAACAGTTTGAGAAATTTGGCTTGAATTGATGCTTGTAGTTTGTTTTATTTATGTGGAAACAACACAAAAAGCAATAAGTCACAAAAAAAATGAAAAGAACAGATCTTTATTTTTTTACACATACAGCTCTACTTCAATGACTGTGTGAACAGACCACGTGTTAAATAGTAAAAATGTCTCTATGTATATGTGGTCTGCCTATGTTGAGTTTTGTAACAAAGTTGAAGAACGGGCATGTCCTGAATAACAATAAGAATACATTCCTTGGACACCTCAAGTCATCTCATCAATAATACTGCACATTGCAGCATCCTTGTCCCACACTTTGTCCTTCTTACAAGACAAATTCTTGTCTGTTTGTCCAACCATGCAGCTAACACCCGTCACATCTACATCCATCGGCTCGGTTTTCAGTCTTGCGGCTCCAGCTGACACCGTGCCACCAGCCTCTCCCGCGCTGGAGCTGTTAGGTTGTGGCAAATTATCAGGCAGCAAAACAAGACACCCCTGAATCATCTCCATCACCCTCTCCAGATGCTTCTGGAAACGCTCAGCAGTCTCCAACCGCTGTCTCTTCTGAACCTCCATCATGACTCGAAGCGTCTCCCTGGCCTGGTGAGGACGGTACTCATTGATGAGGTGATGCATGTGGACAAACAGGAGTTTCAAGTCCTCCATCTTCTCCTCGCGCTTAATGCTACCTGGGCTTTTGATAAGGATGTCCAGAAGGTCCAGAAAGTTGACTAGGATGGACATATTCAGTTTCTTCAGCTCTCTCTTGTGGTCAAACTGCATAGGGTGGAGGCGCTCGATGCCCTGGGTCTCCAATGGTCGAATAATGATGTCATCGCATTGGAAATGATTGCCAAACATCATGTAACTGTCTCGAATAGGAGGAGGGGGTTTGGGCGCCAGTCCCTTTCGCACGTTCTCATCCGTGTACTCCTTGATGAACTGCATTGGAGGCGGTGGAAGAGCACTGACCTGCTGTGGCTCCCCCATGCTTTAAATCTAGTCAAGAAAACGATCAAATCTATTTATTAAATAGACTAGTAGCAATATTGTTGTTATTATTATTTATAAATAATACTCTCTGGGATGCAAACTACAAAACAACTATTATTTATTAAAAACAAAACTCGCTTTGAAAAATGATTTGCTCTCAATCATATTTCGTTTTATTACTGTCAAACAAACATATTGGGGGTCTTCGGAAATGCAGTAAAAGGAACCATAAACACGTTATCAACAATACTTGTTTAGAAACAGCTAAAAGCTTACAAGCTAAATGCTAATGTTCACCAAATAAGTGATATAGAGAATCGCAAAGGGGGACTCATTACTGTAGTAATCAACAAAAATACTTACCGAAACTGCTGGCTTTATTGAACAAAAATAGTGTCGGCTACGAAAACAGATTTTCGGTAAACATAAGCAAAGCGGCCAAGTCTTCCTGCATGTCTCTTCTTCTTCTTCTTCTTCTTCTCCTTCTTCTTCTTCTTCTTTATCCTGTAGTATTCCGACAGTGTGGGCGCTGCAGAGCGAATTACTGCCCTCCACAGGTCAAAGTTTGTACTAAATACTCGTCACCAAACAAAGATAAAACGGATACAACAGAAAAAGCCTCAACTCCAACTAAGTAATGACAGTTTAATAAAGAATATATTTCTTGATGCCAGGAAAACATGCCCTGCTGTCTCAAGCATATGTCTCAATACTCCCACGTACTTTTTTCTAATGGGCCGTCTGTGTGATATAACACACCACTGGTTGCCTACACAAAATTTAGTGGCACGTCCCCCTCAGAAACAGATTTTCCCCCTCAGAAACAGACTACATTTTTGAAAATTCTTAACATTTATAAATATGTTTACTGTACAGTAATTGACATGTTAAGTATTATTATTATAAGTGTTTTTTTTTTGTTTTGTTTTTTTCCGTTTGTTTATTTTTAGCTAGTTAGTTAGTTAGTTAGTTTATTTAGTGACATGTAGGGGGTAGGGAGTAGAGCACTAGCCTAGAGATCGTCTCTCGCCACCGTTGATACATCGTCTGTCAGCTGGTGCCGAGCAGTGCCGAGCCGGCTCTGGGCTATGTATTTAATGCATTAGGCCTACATTATATTGAGCTTATTTCTCCAAATTTTAAAAACTAAAAGCCATTTCTGTTATAATGCGCTACTCCATGCATGATTAACTTATTACGATCAGTGCAATGCATGATGGCAGGGCTTGGGTTAGTGACCATCGGTTGTAGACTACACTACTTTTCTAAATGCATTCTGGGATATATAGGACTATGGTGGGTATAATAGTGGACTATATAGGGTATTATCACTATATATTCGGCCAGCACTACAAAATGGCGAGCTCACTATATAGTCCACTTGTGAGTAGTGGGTGATTTCGGACACAATCTTCCTTTTTCACAGAAGAAAGCTGGAGCTTCGAGCATCACTTGGAGCTCAGAGTAAGTCATGATCTCCTGTTTTAATGTTACAACAAATTGATTACAAAATGTTACACAAACAATGACAACTTCACTGCTGTTAGAGAATGATTCCCAGATAATTAGTATCAGTTTCTCATGTGTCTGTAACTTACAGTAACCAACTGTTTTCCAGCCTGTTCACTGACAACACCTGCTCAGAACAAGTCATATTTTCGACTGACATAGGTATTGTCACATTATAAACATCTCTTTCTCCAAATAGGCTTAATAATTTGGTAACACTTTACAATAAGGTTCATTAGTTAACATTAGTTAATGTATTTACTAACATGCACTAATCATGAGCATTTGTTAATGCATTTGTTCATCTTTGTTAATGTTAGTTCATGAAAATACAGCTGTTCATTGTTTGTTCATGTTAGTTCACGGTGCATTAACTAATGTCAACAAGATTTTAATCAAGTATTAGTAAATGTTGAAAATAACATTAACAAAGATTAACAAATGCTGTATATGTGCTATTCATTATTAGTTCATATTAACTAATGTAGTTAAATGTTAACTAACGAACCTTATTGTAAAGTGTTACCTTGGCACTGAATAAATTAAAATGTATTGCATAGTTAATGTTATAGTTGACTTTTAAAATCATGTTATATTTTATAATTATATCCTGGCCATGGATGCATTAATCATTGCATCTTTCTGTCAAAGATGTAAGTTAAAAAGCAATAAAGGATTCTCTCATCCGCCCTGAGAGGAAAGCCCCCTAAAAAGGCCGGGTTAGAGGACGCTGGCCCAGAGAGGATGACGAAAAGTGTAGGCCCATTAGGTAAAGGACAAACACCGTCACTCACAATAAACAACAACAGTCATAATCTCTCTCTCTCTCTCTCTCTCTCTCTCTCTCTCTCTCTCTCACACACACACACACACATAAATACTTTGTATTTGGTTGAATTTTCAGTCACGTGTCAATTTTTTTCTTCTGCAAGTCTGAGCAATTATTAACAAAATAAACTCTAATAATAATAATATTAATGACACACCCCCATTTTCACGACCTGCCAAATATGTGTGTGTATGTGTGTGAGAGAGAGAGAGTGTTTGTGTATGTGTGTGTGTGTGTGTGTGTGTGTGTGTGTGTGTGTGTGTTTGTTTATATGATTTAAGAGGACTCAAATGTGTGTAATGATATGGGTATTACACTGTAAACATGGTGTATGGGAACGTTTCATGTCCTTATAATTATAATGGCTCAACTAAACTAAACTGCAAAATGCATTTTTATTTTTATTTTATGGGTAGGGTTAGTGTAGGGGGAAAGAATATACAGTTTACAGTGAGTGTGTCTGTGACTGCATGCGTGATTGCTTTAGATTCTTGTGAAGTCTACCTCAGGAAGTGGTTCACCTTTATCGACTCCGGAAACCTATGCTTTATACAAGTAGGCTATAAGCTCTACAACTAGTGATTGAAACACACCACTCGCCATGAGTCAACCTTCCATGCTGTAGTTAAATATCCGAATTTCACCATGTACCCAAGGGTGATCCTAAAGGAAAAACTGTACAAGAAATCACAGCAAAAGAGAAGAACTTCACCGTGCAATTACAAAGAGAGGGTTTTTGTGTTAAACACAGAGGATCTGACATACTTTGAACATCGTCCTGGGGTATGTAGCCAATTCACACTTTGACGTTATTGTAAATGTTAATAGGCCTATTTTCAATTATAAAAGTTACTTTTTCACTTTTTTAAAATAAGTTAAGACAATGTCTGTGATGAGATGACTACA